TCTGCTATGAAGTATACACTATATACATTTTGAAGAGGTAATAATACAATATTTAAATGTTTTATCTAAGTTTTTAAAAAATCGAAAAAAAGTAATAATCATGTAAAAATTCACAAAGTTATGGTCGTTCACGTTTTTGATATTATTTTGTAAGAATAATATAGTTTTGTTTTAAGAAAAATATTTTATTAGTTACCTACTCTCAAATGTCAAACAATTAATTATTTTTTCGTAAATATAGACAATCAAATATATAGGTAGATCTATTTGTATTTTGTATGGATTATTATAAAGCAAATCCGCATACAATAGATATCACGGGTGCCACGAGTGGACAGTTTAACTATCCTTTGATATGACCAATAAAATTCTGTGTTTATTAGTTATCACTTATCACTCAATATATATTCGATACCCAGGTCGATAACTATAGATATAATGACTATTTATAAATACCAGTATTGGCAGTATTATAATAATATATATATTCTAAGTTATTGGTGAAGACAATTTTACAAAAAGTCGGTCAGCTTACAAGTTATTTACGTTATTTTTCTAGTATTTTGAAACTTGAATATTTATATATGTCTCGTTTAATTTCTAAAACATGTTAAAGAATGTCAGTGCAATATCCTGGCGATCCGGTAGGTGATTAAGTTTTATAGGGGTGATTTCACGACTAGAAAACTGTATTCGCTGTATTCGTAGACAATAATATCTCTTGTCACCGGTGGATGCTTAATACTTGTCAGTCACCGTACTGTAGAAACTGGAAGAGATTTTATCCTTTGCTGCACAAATGTATAATTATTATTTGTAACTTATGTCACATAACAAAATATTATGATTACACGGCGTTTAAGGTAGGCAATTTTGCTACACCACTGACGCTTTGTCTGTTTTCCCACAATTTTATAAAATGCTTGGTTGATAGTTAAAACTTAAAATACATCAAACTACCATAATGCAAGTGAATGAGTAAAACTTTACTTGAAACTTATGTGCAATTATTTTTCAAATTACCTATATGTAAATAATAAATATAGTATTTTATAATATGACGAATGATTAATACACGAAAACAGGGTTGGAAAACCTTTTTATTCTAATCAAACAAGATAAACGTTGCATTCGTTTTAAACTATGTTTTTTTTTTAATGTTTTATACACGTTTTTGTAAAATATTTTGAAAATGATATTGTTTAAAAAAATTAATTTCTTAAAAATACAAAATGATAATGACGTATTTGCTTATCAAAATTAAATTTAACTATTAACTAACTATTATTTTAAACGTCGGTTAAAACATTTTAAATGTGTATTAAAACTATTTAAAGTGTAAACTTTAAACATACATTTAAAATGTTTTTAAATCCTGTTTGAGAATAAAATATTGTGGGTCAGTGTATTATTTCAAAAGAAATAGGAAATTGGTATTGTAAGAATATCATACTTATATATTACGTAAATGGTGTATCTTATTGTTATATAACATTTAAATCTTTTAAATTGGATGGAGGCTGAAGTAGAAAAGAACAGCTTGTTGAAAAATGTTTTAGTACTTCTATTATAGTATATAGTCGCATATTATAGACATAAAAATAAATGACAAAACAGTACTTTACAACTAGGTAACACAATTGTATTCAATTTATTTGTTCATAATTATATTTTAAGTCTAAATTGTATGAAGAAAATAAAAGCCAATACTACATAAAATATTAAAATTGTATGTCTAAAAAAAAGTGTTCAAAATAGTTAATACTTTCGAGATAATGTTGGGTGTTCACTGTTACAGTTTTGCACTAGCTGTTTTATACGTATATCTATGTCTAAGGATCTGACCTCATTGCAGTGGTCAGAACTTCGAGTTTAAATTAAATCAAATGTAACTTTTAAATTATTTTTTTTTGAAAGTGCTTTTGTCCAGATCTCTGAAATAGTTCTGGACATGCCTATGTGATGTACCCACGTATATTATAGACATTTTATAAATATTTTCCGACTTGGATTGAAACTATTTAAAAACAAATTACTGTCAAGAATGAGGCATTCAGTGGTTTCGTGACTCTATACTCGGCGGGAGGCAACGACACCCCCTCCCCGCCATAACAACTCCCGGAGAATATACAATCCGTATTATGGTTGTCGTGTGCAGTGAAGCGACGCCCCGTGCACGAATTGGGGTACGTTTATCAACTGAAATCGTGCCTACATAGAGTTCGGGGTGCTATGGTATTATAAACGAAATGCACCATTAGCGCCCCCGCGATCTGCGCCAATGGGCACCACCGTAAGCAGTTACGCGAGCGCTTCTGTGGCCGTGGTCGCGGTCAACGTTACGAAACGGAACGGAGACGACGGATCGGTTCGCTCCAGCGGTGACCAGCTCGACGAGCATGACGGCAGCGGCGACGACGACGGACAAGCCGAGGACGACGAGCAGCCCGCGTACGTGTCCGATGGTCACTCCGATGCTGTCAGCTTCCGTGAACGTCCAGTCGCGGAATTCTCGTGACAACCATTTCTTCTGCAAGTAGTCCACCACTCCGTTGGTGAGCAGCGACACCATTCTGCGCATAGAGTCGACAACGGTTACAACCATAATATGGTATACTACATAATAATATTATAATAAATAATATATACCGACACGAATTCATATTGTTATTTAATGATATGCACTCGGTGATGCATCGCCAAAATAAAATTTTGGGCACGCGTCTTTTTCGCGTATAGGTAGGTGACAATGGTAAAAATCTTATAATAATGTAAAAATAATAATATTCTTCTCTTCACTCGAAATCGTTATTTTTGCCATGCGAGTTCTTGTTATGCACATTGTTAGTACAAGTTACAGTGTGTACTTTAAGGAGGTCGTTTTTGGATATTTCTTGTAGTACCTTTACATGACTAAAATTATCTGAATGATAAATATTTTTACATAAGATATAGGGCATTCTTGTTGGTGTTTTGATAATCACCTGCAGATATCTTACTACATGAGTACCAACTGATAATTAAAAATTGTAAATAATTATATAATATTATAAGGCCATATACTCAAGTGTGGTCGTAAATTTAGATAGTACATACAATATTTAATGTATACAATATTATATTACATGAGCTTAAGAAAAACTAGAGAAGTAACTATATACAGCTTGCGCCTACCCCGATACTGCACTGTATGTACTGCTCCACTGCTGCTTACCATAAATATTAAATTCCATATTATACGGTGATTGCTGATTACAAACAATTGTTATATTTATTTAATCGATAGCGGATTAGCTCACCACAATTATTATAAATAAAACAATGATCGAAGTTTATTCCTAAACAAATATTTACGCATTTCTTGTCCATTATTATTTTATTGTTGGATACAAGATTCCGCTAGATAGCTTTTATCTTGACATCGTGATAATATTATGTTTTAACGGTATACCACACATTATTAGGTTTATAACTGGTGAGTGGACTGTAGACTCCTAATATATAATTTATGACATTTATTTTGGTTACCAATAACTATTCTAACTACTACTTTGAATTAGAATAAAATCTAAAAAGTAAAATCGCAGTCTAAATTATTATTAAATTGACATATACATGCTTAAAATAACACTATATGTGGAATTTTACCTATTTTTTTATTTTTCACTCATTTCCGCAGTGCGTTTTGGAGAAGAACTATAAGACTTTGGCCGATTTACTATTGAAATTTCAAAACGAACGGATCTGGTACAGCAGCAGGGTGGTAGGGTATGTCGGGCTTTATAATACGTAAGCTGCAGAGTTTTCGAAACTATAATATAATATAATATATGGTTCGGCGTCACTGTAGCAGCTGCCTTAGACTTGCGCATATTATTACTACCTATCGTAATAATATATAATAATGGCGTGACACCCGTTATTACTTATTGTAATAATATTATAATAATATCGTATAGAAATTGGAACGGAATCGACTGAATTCGATACGAAAACACAATAATATACTTGTGGTCACTTTATGAAGCAAGACAGAATTAAGTATTTTTCTCATTTTCCGTCAAATCTGAGAGTAGTCCAATTTTGGAATTTTTTCCACTAAACTTATTGGCTGTCAGTGCTAAGGTTATCGAAATTTGGACGACATTGTTAAGCTTGAATAGTAATTGTTCAATTTGCTCACCAAATTCATAGAATCGGGCCTTAATAGCTACATGTTATAGGCGGTTTGTTCTTATATTATTATCTGTGATAAACAGTTTACATGCGATAAGCCAATAACTCAGAAATTGAATTCTACTAAACCTCTTCGCAATTAAGAGGATTTGCATTATACTATTTCCACTTACGCCTCTCATTAAATTGTCGCTACCTCGCGATTATTATTATTTGTTATTGGAACGTTTTATCGATTGGTCGGCCGAATAGTGTTGCTGGCGACTGCAGACGTTTGGCATACCTACTTACGTTCTGATAGCGTTGAAATATTATTAATCACTCCGCGCAACTCTATCTGGCGGACGAGTGAGGCTCGCGGGCCGGAACCGACAATCGGGCGACGGATCGCGCCAGTTTCCGTCCACTCGACCGAATTGGTGATGCGGCGGCGAACGAAAGGCTGAAACCCGCCCGGAGAACCATATTATTGGTAGGCATACCCACATGATATTATTATACCGATAGTATTGTTTTCGATCGGAAGTTTTTTTTTGTTTTCACGTGTGCTCGATCGGTGAAAAATTCGCGAATTTCCGTCGCCAACCCGATATTATTATTACCTACCCGGAGAGGTGTACAGTGTCGAGTGCGAAAAAATGATATACGATATTTTTTACTCGGATTTTAAACGACCGTGACGTGTCGTAGCCGTTTTCCGGCACCTCTCGACATGTCCCCGTGGGTCGAGTATAGGTTGACCGCGCGTGTGCATACCTATATGGTATAATACCATTATATAGTAGGTAGGTACAATGTACATCATATTATATATATATGAAGTATAAAATAATATATGATATATTGTTTTCTATATAACGCTCGCACAGGGTAGTTTTTATTTTCCGAACAAACCGAGTTGGGTCGTCCATATATAATACGGCGTACCTTGTGAAATATTCATATTTTTGTTTGTTTTCTTCTTCTTCTGTTTCGTTTTTACAGTGTGCAACATAACCGTGGGATTAATTTATCACACGCCCCAACATGAGCTCTTAAATATTTCACGTAACGTTTGTTAAAACCATGTTTTGATTTCCTATAATGGTGTTGACCTATAATTTTATATTTTAATGCTCGCGATAATCATCGTCCGATATCGCATTGTTATTTAAAACTGGCAGCGTGTAATGTAATGGACGAGAAAAGTTCATATTCTTGGTCAGTTGACGAAATTAAAATTGTTACGATAAATGAAACCGTTATTGGGTTAAAACGTAATTATACGCTTCCATCGCAATCATTAAATTGTTGAATTATGATTACCTGTTATTGTAATTATTATCATTTATTTGTTCGTATTTCAGAAGTCGACTGTAGTTTATAACAAATGTCCATACGGGTATCATACAATAATGTACTGTTCTGACTTCCAACGGACAACTGGACAAGGGTCCTTTTGCGGTTTAAATAATTTTAATTAATAACTAGGTTTCTAGGTAAATGAATAAGGACTTGTTGTAACACACTTATATTATAGTGTTTCGTTGTAGTGTGTGTACGTCAAGAATTGTGTCATGATCCCAGACGAAAATCATTCTAATATTTCCACCGGTATCAAGTCATCGAATAGTGTTGAAAGTGTTGTTAATTATTATAACAGGTAGTTGCGATTGTCCGTCAATATGATATTGATGATAAACTCTATTCAACCAACGCCATCTATATCTATATAGATATATATAGATACATTATAATTAGGGGCTTAGGGTGAATTATTATTGTATTGCAATATATTATATGATTCATATAAAATATGTATTTTGTGGAAATGGATTTTTTGACAACCCAAGTCGTGGTGGAGTGGTAGATGACAGGTGAGCATCAATAATTAATTCTATTCGCGCCGCGCCCTTATACGAGTTATAGATGATTGAGGAGGGTTAGGTACACTACAATATTATTGTGTGAATTACTAACTTTGACTGATGCGTCCACTATACTATTCTACAAGTCAACTAAAGCTTAGTTTTGTTTTGATTTTCTTTTGTTATCAAATTCCATTGTACCTACGAGTATTTAGAAATACAATATGCATGTTACCATCACTAACCAATGTATTATTATAGGTATTACTGGTATTAGGTTAAGTACCTATCTATATTATGCAAACTCACTAAACTACACCAATTATATTTTCCCCTGGGGAACAGTCGATAAACTATTACTTTGACATATAAAGTATTGGTAACTGCAGTTGATGGCTACAGGTATATACGGGGCAGGCGGGCAGCAAATGTCCATCTGTTTCTACGGAAGTGCTGCAAAGACAAGACAATAAGAACGGCAAAAATCATAACCATGGCTTAAACCAATAAGGTATAATATAGTCAGAGTCATCCTTATAGGGAGGGGGAGGCCTCGCGATTTTTACTCAGATTTGGAGCCTAAAGTTCAAAGAATATTGGAAAATCGGTTTCAGAAATCGTATTATATTTATTCCATAACATTAAAAATTTTATATTTCATAAAGAAATATTGAAGGAAATTCTTAGAAATAAAGTATATAATTAGTAAATAAATAACTGCTGTGGTCAAAATATTATGATGACTGGCCGTCATATGATGGGACAAAAGTACAAAACCAAAGGGTACGTAATACTTTCACAAAACCACAAAACTTTTTTCATCCCATCATGCTCATCATAGCTCATATAAGCTGTGATTTGGAAAATCTCAAGAACGGCCCTTAGGACATGGGTATTCGTCGCCAGCGTGTATACTACGACATCGTATAATTATACTTGCATCTCGTTAATTAGGGGGGTGTACGGCGACCCCTTGGAAGTCAGCACCGATGCGTAGGCGACCGCGTGACGACCGGCCACCGACATCACTCGGCAGCCATTCTGGTGGCTCGTGGCCCTGGCCATCACCATTGGCGTCTCCAACACCAATATGGTTTGATCGGTGCACACCGACTTGGCCATCACCTCGATGTCACCGTACTCCAACTGGGGGCACGGTGGCTCGTTCACCACTCCCAGCCACCGTTCCATTATAAACGCATCCGTCTCGTTCGCCTGCGGATAATAGTCATGTTAATATTTAACAATAATCGGTACATAACCGACGTTTAACAGTGTGACATCCAATATAGGTACAGCCGGTACAGGTAGGAATGTAATAATAAGTGGTGCTATGAAGTTATAAAAAATAAAATTGATCAAATATGCAGGTATACAAACGTGCACATAAAAATCTGAACTATGCGAAAAATCGTTCAAAATTGAAAATCACAAAAATTATACAATATACTGTATTATATATATTTTGGTATATTTTTTTCTAGTTCAATCACACTTAATGGTGGTTGCAACTACATTTTGGTGAATAGGTATAACTATATATTATACTATCGTTAGTAAACTGTAACCACATTTTTTTTTTTTTGGGGGGGGGGGGATTTCATGTTATTTTTTTCTTATCTGTGTGGACATCTTCCTTACGCCCTTTTCTACTCATTTGGTAAGTACGAGCAAATGGCTCGTAATAAATATAAATTTATATCAATATTTATAATATGTATACAATGTGTCGAGTATTGTTCAACTATAGCAATAGGCATGCAAGAAGCAAGGAAGTGGGTATCGTCAGAACAGGATTCAGGACACCGCTTAAATAGTACAACAATTAGTCTAAGGCTCTAAGCATTCACCAAGTTCGAGAAACAGTTTTTTAGCTTACTCGTTCTTAGTTAATTGTATGCATTATCGAAGAAAACATTTATCTTGACTTATTGTGCAACAAACATTTGGGAGGTAAGCCCTCCGCCATAGCCACCATCTAGTTTCGCCTACGTATGGGCAGGTACTTCAAAAACATTTTAAAAACATACACGAAAATTGAAATATGTATACGTAAATCGACCTTTAATGAAACTACAGAGCTGAAATAACTGAATTATTAAATAGAGCACGGATACAGTTCTCAGAAATATCGACTGTAAAAGTTGCATGCACATAGGTACCTACTATGTATACGCAATGCAGTCATGTCATGTTAAATTATTACCAACGAATCATACATACATATTTAACCTAACCTAACATACATATAATGGCTAATTCAAAATACTTTTAGATTTTATAATACTCAAAATTCGTGTCGTAATGGCAAGGCAGTAACATCCCCGCAATGTATCTCAATTATAACTTTTATATATTTATATCACACTGAACACGGCTTTTATCTCGGATTATGAAGGAAATTTAAGAGGAATCACATCCCACATGGATATGATGTCGGTTTTTCTTATATTCTGAATTGAAAAGTGAAAAAATATTTCTGTTTTATATTATACAGGTTAATTTCAAACTAACATAATATTGTACAAAAATTAATCTAATACTATCTGATGATAATAAAGTTCTGGACAGAGTTTCACTATAGGGGAAGCTAATATAGGTATATATATTATATATATATTTACACGAATCAGAAATTTGATATACTGCAAAAGTGTAAATGAAAGAAGTTTGGCCGTTAAGGTGATAATATATAGTATTTTATTATTTATATTTGAAACATTATTCACTTCAGTGTGTTTGTCAAACATTTTTTAAATATTTTTTACACAATATTTATCTCATCCGTTTTTGTGCAGTTGTCACTGGTCATTGGTCTAGCACTGGGAGACTTAATTTTTAATCGTCCTGGACGTAGACAGAGATTAATTATTCACATTCGCTTTTTATCGCTCGATTCCTCTCTTCATTGTGTATGCGTATTTGTAAGGGGTTGGATTTAAACAATATCCTATATCCATCATGAGTGATGTGATGTGAATGTGTGTATAGTGACTGATCATTAATGTGAGTGAGTTCTCCGAACGATTTATGTAATTAAAGATAAAATACGGCTAAGATTTTTGGAAATCAGTAACGTACATATATGCGCAGTCGCACGTCACTAAGTTTTGTGATCAAAAAAGTTTCAATAGTCAACTCTAATACTCTAAAGTCCCGTAAAAAGTGGAAGAAAAATTCACCCAGTACCAAAAGCCCGATTTTAATTTTGAAAACATATTCGAATTTCTTATTCTCTTTTCTAGGTTGTATAGAAAATTAATTTTCGATTTTTTGGTATTGTTTAATTAGTATAAACCAAATTAATTTTCTTTTTTTCAAAATTCACCTTTACTTTAGTGTTACTAAAATAAAATTGAAAATCCATTTTCCACATAGCCTAGAAAAAATAATAAGGAATTAAAATATTCTTACAAAATTATATAATTGGACTTCTGGAAGTATATTTTTTTCTTCTGCAGCTTATTGGTCTGAATGCACGAAAAAAACGACGAAACCACGACCCTTTTCAATATAGCCTTAATAGTGAAATACTTTAAATTTTTTTTTTAATAATTATAAATAAAGGTCTGTTATTCGATAGCATTTCGAAAACATTGGTGTACATCATCATGTAAAATGTGTGTAGTTTTCAAATTTAAAAACGTAGGCAATACAATTTAATACTATATGGTTATACTATTGCGTTATAGTAAGTGATGATCATAGCTCATATTAGTCATATTATATATCACTACTAGCCGTCCCCTCCGGCCTTTCCAGGAAAAAAAATGTGATTGAATAAATGTCATTTTAAGTGTAAATCATATTATATTTTAATTTATAGCCCGGCGCTGCACGCTGCCTGTGAGACTACCTTGTGATTATGCGAGTAGTATATTATCAGGTAGGGTTGGAAATTTACCTGCTGTTAAATGTATAATTTAATTCTAAAGTATCAAAGTTATACCTAGTTGTACATAATAATTATATATAATATATTATCTAATATCCTCTAGATTTTAGTGGACGACGGTCGAAAAATTAAAGTTGGGAATACCATTCCTCATTTAGATTACAAAAAAAATATACAATATTATTTAGTTAATGTTTTTGCTGAAGGCTGGACAAATGGCATCACTATCTATCATTCCATCACCACCACACTTTCCTCTCATAACCGCAACTTCATTGGGCTAAATGTATGTTTAAAAACTTGCTCCGAGATGTCCTTTTTAATTTTAAAAAAATGATGAATGAAATAGGTAAAGGCGTTCTCAAGCGATTCCATGACAAAAGGAATAGGGTACATTTATAAATAGGTATTGGTATTTGGTATACATATTACAACATAATATGTCGTCGTATGTAATAGTATTAAGAATTGATAGTTTTTGTACATTTTTTATATTTTAGAGTGTTCGAACGTATTCTTATATTTTCCTGATGATCACAAATATACAATTAAAATTAAATTGTTTTTTTTTATATTTACACAAAACTAATAAAAATGCATTAAATAAGTTTACAAATAACTTCTTAAAGAATTTAGCTGATTCGTTATATTGTTTCTAGTAGCCACAATTCCAAAATACTGCACCCTCTGCAGGTGAGATTCAAATTAGGTCACTCAATAAGACCAACAGAACCTACCCAGGTTAACGAGTTTTAAAAAAAGAAAATCATTGCCATGGTTAATTATTATGCGATTACGAAATAAGCTACAAAAAGGATTCAGCGTGGGAAAAAAACAGAGATGGCCATAATTATACAGTACCAGAAAACAAAACCAAATTTTCGAAAGAAAAATAAGAAAACTTTGATTGTGTGTACCTACTGTTTTAATTTTTTATGAATTACTTCCCGAAAAATATTACTATTGTTTTTAAATGTTTTTTTTATTATTTTCAAAGATGGATAACTTTTTTCGCAGTGATGTCAAAATAAATAAATATAATTATTGGTTCTTCCCCGCGTGAAATCGTTTGTGAGTAACTTTAAACTAGTAAATTGAATTATTCAAATTCATTTAAATTTTTATTTTTTTAAAAATGTAATGCAAGTTAACGAAATCTGAAACCCCTTGAAAAGCGTAAGTGGCGGAGTCCTCTTAATTATTATTATAAATAACATAATAATACATTTATACTCACTTTGAACAGCAGGTACCCAAAGCTGTTGCGCCTCACGCACAGCACGTGCGTCCGCATCTTGGACAGCGAGTCCAACGACGGTATGGCCAGGTCGGACTTGTCAACGGTCAACCGGGAGAACAGCACTGCTGAGTACGACGTGCTAATGCACAGGCCGAACAGTAACGTGACCCAAGATACGACGCGTACGGAACAGGCGTTGGTGTTGACGGTGTGAAGTCCTACGGATATTAATAATGATAAAGATGTATTGTGTTACCACTAACCACTATCATTGTGCATATTAATATTAATAATAAACGTGTTAATGGTAGAATGGTAATAAAGTTGATATTGATTTTTTTTAATTATGACAATATAGCTTTATTCAAGTCATGCTTAAAAATAAAACAATTTATAATATTTGTGTTATTTTTAATTTTTTGTAGCAAACGTTAATACTGTTAAATGTTAAATACTATACTATATACTATTATTGTAAATATTATTTATGTAAAAGTAGTTGATATCCATCTTAAAGATTATCATTATTAAATGCAGCGAAAACAAAATAACGTACAAAATATGTTTAATAATACGTGGTGTGAGTAGTAAGTTTATGTATAAGTATGACTATAAAATTAGCACTGTTGAACAATTCTTCTTACTTGCAAATGAAACTGTTTCCCATTTATTTATAATATAAATTATAAACTGTAGTCAATAATCATATTTTGTTATTTTGACTTATATCTATAGTATAGTATACATCGTACAATATAATATGCACGAGGTACGCAATATTTTTTTTAAACATTATTTTTCTGTGGGTGAATTAATATAATTATATTGTATATTGACAACATATTATAATATGTTTTAGTAATTTTTATAATATATTTATAGATATTATCAAGCCGCGACCTGTAGCAGTTCGCAAATCAGCAAATGGACGTTACGCTAAGTTTTGATTTTAATTTATCAAGAGTGTTACAATGACACTACCTCGCAGAAAAACCTAGTTCGTTTACTGTAAGCACTAGAGGCACTCGATGACAATTTACATTTTTGAATTGTGTCACTGCGTTAATCACGCCTGTGCGTTCATTGTTTCGGAGGCAAACTATGCGATTTATCACGGACTCCAAAATCGCCATTTGCGGCCCACCGCCTCTTCGATCTACGTACGCGTTTTCCTTTACACATATGTAACATATATGACTGATATACCTTGACTGCAAATCGATCCCCATACGACGAAGAAATAGGATATCAGGCTAGGAGATTCGGCGACCGATGGCTGTTGTAACTGTACCACGGGCACGTTGTCCGCTGGCGACATTATATGTCTGAAACACAATAACTATAATATTATTCGTGCGAATACTATAACGGGTGTATATAGTATGTTTCCGATCATTTGACACTATGTACAAGCTACGGTTCAAATCGAGAAGATTTCACTTTGTCATGGATCAACATCGGCTGTTTCATATCACCCCTTCTCCACCATATATATATCCTTAAAAAAACCACTCTACTTAACTTGTTTCCAAAATTTTATTCCATATTATATGATAATTTTAAGCATATATTTCTATGTCCCGTCCCATTCATCTCTGAGTCATAAAAAAATTTAAAAAAGAGAGCACACACAAAAAAATTGTTGAAACAATTCTCGCGTTATCATACCTATATTGTCTATATTATAATGTCGTGTCATTTTTAAATTTGTCAAAAATCAACGTCGTTAAAATATATATACCTACTATATGCTCATATAGTCTCTGCTCGTCCATCTCTAATGTACGCACGAGCTACAGGGAAATAATAATAATACGTCGAATTGATAATATTTTGATGGACGATCTTCTAGAGCGGGCAAATATAAAGGAAGGAATAAAAATTACGGTTTTTTTTTTTTGCGGAAAAGTTCGAAACGTCAACCGGGTTGGTGTGGACTTTACACGCCCGACCTCTAAGCGTGCGGCAGGATCCTAAGATCCTGGTACAAAGCTCACGACCATTCTGGAGGGGTGAAAAACGGTCTGTCACACACACTCGCTCACATGCACACGCACACATATATACTACGCTATTGATTTTACCCCTCTCTGATAATGTACGGAAACCCTTTTGTACGGGCATTATACGAACATTTGCAAAGGTTACATTTGCATATTATTGTACCGGCTTGAATAGATTCGTCTTACTGTATATTTTACAAAATATATATATTATATAATATTCGTTTCGGCAGGCGCACCGTTTAAACCGAATGGCCGAATCGTTCGATTTAGGTGTAGGATAATGTAAAATCACACCCAATCATTTAAAATTTTTATGTGGCGTGATGCGGCACAAATTTCTGGAGAACATATTATTACAGATCAATATATTAGCTTGACCAGAGACCACTCGGTCGAGGAATCAGCCTACCTAATTTGTTTGATATATAGTATTCCCTCACAAGAATATGAAGTTCGATTTTGTAAGAAATGCCCGTTCTAAAAATATAACATTAATGGGAGATTTTTTCTTTATTTTACTACATTCAAAATTTTAAAACGTCGAAATGAGACGAAATTAATACAGGTAATATTTATTAAGTTTACACGTGTATGATGTACCTAAAGCACAAATATTTTACGAAAACGAGAAATTCTATACTACGTTTAATAGAACCATGCACGTGAAAAGTTTATTATAAAAAACTCCATTTTTTTAAAAACCTCTTTCGTATAAATACATTGAAATAATATCCATACATTTATCATGTATTAAGTAGTAATGTATTTAAAACTTTGATGTAGATATCTATACCTACATAAACCAAATAGCATATTGCATATACAAACCGTGTATTTACTTAAGTTATTTAAAGTTTTGATAATATAAGTAAATATTTATTTGGCCCCAGATTCATTGAGGTCTTTACGGCACTAGGTACTAAAATGAACAACGGATAGCGACGGAATTATTAATGATAGCTTTATTCATTTATTTTAGTTAAAAGAAATAACTTTTAAAGCCGTTTGATGTAGAAAAAAAAATAGAACTAATTATTAATATAAATTGTACCTTTTCACACGATATGATATTTTTTCCCGTATCATTTTAATGAGTTCGATCTGTTTTAATTTATTTTATTTTAATAAACTACATTATGCAATATATTATATCGTTGGAATTTCACAAACTCAAAGTTTCGATACAACTGAATAAATATTAATTTAAATGTATCACTAAACTTAGTGTACAACATAGAGGTGTCGAGTGGGTTTTTCGCTGTAATTGATGTGTTCAATTTGAATTCAATGATAGGTTTATGGTATCGTTTTTTTAAAGTATAGACGGATATTCGTTTTTAAATTATATTCTACCAAAAAAAAAAAAAAAACAAAAATAGATTTCGTCAATTAAATTTTTAACTTTTGACCCCCCTCCCCTTCCCTCCTCCTCCCGCCAAAGTACAAACTAGATATTTTGCTTCCCCACAAGAAAATATGCTAAAGTAGGAAATGTAAGCATTTTACTGCCTAAAAGAGGATGATGAGAGACGCAACAATATTTTTAAAAAAACACACACATCATTGCAAAATCAATACACTCGTATAGCTATCGACTCACATTCTAAAACGGAATGTTGTTTTTATGCGCATATCGGCATAAAGATAATATTATCTATATAGGATAGGTATATTTTTTCGCCGCCGGTGAAAGGAATAAAAACGACCAATAATCGATTTGCTTCGACGGTCAAACTTATGAATATTTATGACTCGTACCTGCAATATATTATTACGTATTATACATAAGTACTATAGCAGGTACCGACCTTTTCTCTCTCTATAATTAATACTCGCTCTCGCGGCTGCAGTACGGGTGCACACTTTGCCGCCGCAGCTCACCTATTTTTACCGGAGTACAATTTAATAGAACTAATAGATAAACACAAAAATGTGACTGAATGTCGTACGAAAAATGTCCCTTTTCCATCGTCTGTTAATATTATTATTATATTAATCGACCTTGACGCTGCAGCAGACCTGATTTTCACGACCAACCACAAGCACACGACGATCACGAACATCGTCAAAAAGAACGCAGCCCACACTTCCGGACTCCATGTCACCAAGTACGACAGCGAAGTTGCCCGGTTGACGGTATACTTTGCGTAAAGTTCGTACCTGCAAGACCAAGCAGAGACGTTAGAGCCAGGTAAGTTGTACACGATGCATTTCAAGTGGAATCCGTGCGTTGCAAAGACATACGGTAAGCCGTGGGTTCCTATAATTGTCGTAATATTATTATGTTATAATTCTTTATATATGCGTATGCGACTTGCAGTGCCGGATTAAACACTATTGTGGGCTCCTGGCAGTCTACATTTTGTGACCCCTTGGAACATTATTACTCAATTACGTCTTTAATTTTACTAAGTACTCAATAATTAAAATTAGTAGTTTTAATAATACCAACTAATCTTAATAAACAAAACAATGCTTATTAAATTATATCATTGAAGTTCTAATAATCGATTACAGGAAAAATGAATTTATATTTATTATTTGTTTCTACTAGTTTCAACAAATGATTCTCAACAACTATAAAAAAATAATAACTTGAAGTAAACTGTAATGCTTAGTTTAAGCATTTTAAACTTCAAATATTTACAGCGGTTCATGAAGGCTTGCAGCGCACGACGGCAATGTTCGTCCTCGCCTAATAAATTATAATAATATGATATACAATAAATATCATCAAGTACCTACTTATAATTCGACTAAATCCATTAAACATTTTTACGGCTTACAATTATATACAGTATATGATTTTCAAATCGATTTTTGTTCACTAATCCGTAAATGAAATGGATACTTATAATTTAAAAAAATAAAAAATGGTTTTCCGTTTTTCACCTATAGCTTGTGTGTTTTCATCCATACGGGTATACATACTTCGACTAATGGGTAATCCGGCACTGACGACATGTATATACCGTACATACTCTTGGGTTTCTCAAATTCCATACTGCAATAATTAGGTACTATAACGTTACAATTAAAATTAAATTGTACTTAAAAATTTTTCAATATTGCCGCAGCCTTGAAACTTCATAATACACATATTCTATTTTTTCTTCATAACATTATTGTAATTAATAGTACACATATACACATGCAATCAGATATATCATTAAAAATATCAAAACAGATAACATTATAATAATGCTATAACAATAATTATGTGTATTGTGTATTTGTGTATAATTGGTAAATGTGTATAAATAGTACAAATTCCCGCAATAAAGTAACGAAAAAGGTATTGAACCTATGATATAAATATATTATTGTTAAGTCCTTATGCAATTCCCACCGATTTTTATCACATTGGCTTGAAAGTTGCAGTACACAACTACGTGATTGGTGTACGAGACTCATTCGCGTTCGAACGGCGTTCGTGATATTGTATACTATGATGTGCTTTCGAGATTTTACGGTAATATAAATGATTCATGTTGTATAAGTTATAGCAGTTATATTCATAGACTTAAAGAAATAGACGGAACATTAGGTATGATAACGCGTGCAAGTGGGTGGAGCTTGTTCCGAGGATCGGGCGTTGAAAAACCNGTACCTTTTCACACGATATGATATTTTTTCCCGTATCATTTTAATGAGTTCGATCTGTTTTAATTTATTTTATTTTAATAAACTACATTATGCAATATATTATATCGTTGGAATTTCACAAACTCAAAGTTTCGATACAACTGAATAAATATTAATTTAAATGTATCACTAAACTTAGTGTACAACATAGAGGTGTCGAGTGGGTTTTTCGCTGTAATTGATGTGTTCAATTTGAATTCAATGATAGGTTTATGGTATCGTTTTTTTAAAGTATAGACGGATATTCGTTTTTAAATTATATTCTACCAAAAAAAAAAAAAAAACAAAAATAGATTTCGTCAATTAAATTTTTAACTTTTGACCCCCCTCCCCTTCCCTCCTCCTCCCGCCAAAGTACAAACTAGATATTTTGCTTCCCCACAAGAAAATATGCTAAAGTAGGAAATGTAAGCATTTTACTGCCTAAAAGAGGATGATGAGAGACGCAACAATATTTTTAAAAAAACACACACATCATTGCAAAATCAATACACTCGTATAGCTATCGACTCACATTCTAAAACGGAATGTTGTTTTTATGCGCATATCGGCATAAAGATAATATTATCTATATAGGATAGGTATATTTTTTCGCCGCCGGTGAAAGGAATAAAAACGACCAATAATCGATTTGCTTCGACGGTCAAACTTATGAATATTTATGACTCGTACCTGCAATATATTATTACGTATTATACATAAGTACTATAGCAGGTACCGACCTTTTCTCTCTCTATAATTAATACTCGCTCTCGCGGCTGCAGTACGGGTGCACACTTTGCCGCCGCAGCTCACCTATTTTTACCGGAGTACAATTTAATAGAACTAATAGATAAACACAAAAATGTGACTGAATGTCGTACGAAAAATGTCCCTTTTCCATCGTCTGTTAATATTATTATTATATTAATCGACCTTGACGCTGCAGCAGACCTGATTTTCACGACCAACCACAAGCACACGACGATCACGAACATCGTCAACAAGAACGCAGCCCACACTTCCGGACTCCATGTCACCAAGTACGACAGCGAAGTTGCCCGGTTGACGGTATACTTTGCGTAAAGTTCGTACCTGCAAGACCAAGCAGAGACGTTAGAGCCAGGTAAGTTGTACACGATGCATTTCAAGTGGAATCCGTGCGTTGCAAAGACATACGGTAAGCCGTGGGTTCCTATAATTGTCGTAATATTATTATGTTATAATTCTTTATATATGCGTATGCGACTTGCAGTGCCGGATTAAACACTATTGTGGGCTCCTGGCAGTCTACATTTTGTGACCCCTTGGAACATTATTACTCAATTACGTCTTTAATTTTACTAAGTACTCAATAATTAAAATTAGTAGTTTTAATAATACCAACTAATCTTAATAAACAAAACAATGCTTATTAAATTATATCATTGAAGTTCTAATAATCGATTACAGGAAAAATGAATTTATATTTATTATTTGTTTCTACTAGTTTCAACAAATGATTCTCAACAACTATAAAAAAATAATAACTTGAAGTAAACTGTAATGCTTAGTTTAAGCATTTTAAACTTCAAATATTTACAGCGGTTCATGAAGGCTTGCAGCGCACGACGGCAATGTTCGTCCTCGCCTAATAAATTATAATAATATGATATACAATAAATATCATCAAGTACCTACTTATAATTCGACTAAATCCATTAAACATTTTTACGGCTTACAATTATATACAGTATATGATTTTCAAATCGATTTTTGTTCACTAATCCGTAAATGAAATGGATACTTATAATTTAAAAAAATAAAAAATGGTTTTCCGTTTTTCACCTATAGCTTGTGTGTTTTCATCCATACGGGTATACATACTTCGACTAATGGGTAATCCGGCACTGACGACATGTATATACCGTACATACTCTTGGGTTTCTCAAATTCCATACTGCAATAATTAGGTACTATAACGTTACAATTAAAATTAAATTGTACTTAAAAATTTTTCAATATTGCCGCAGCCTTGAAACTTCATAATACACATATTCTATTTTTTCTTCATTATTGTAATTAATAGTACACATATACACATGCAATCAGATATATCATTAAAAATATCAAAACAGATAACATTATAATAATGCTATAACAATAATTATGTGTATTGTGTATTTGTGTATAATTGGTAAATGTGTATAAATAGTACAAATTCCCGCAATAAAGTAACGAAAAAGGTATTGAACCTATGATATAAATATATTATTGTTAAGTCCTTATGCAATTCCCACCGATTTTTATCACATTGGCTTGAAAGTTGCAGTACACAACTACGTGATTGGTGTACGAGACTCATTCGCGTTCGAACGGCGTTCGTGATATTGTATACTATGATGTGCTTTCGAGATTTTACGGTAATATAAATGATTCATGTTGTATAAGTTATAGCAGTTATATTATGTAGGTAATGCGTTATCCGTTGCAATAAAATTAAATGCACTTGCTCAGGAGAAAAGCGTAAATAGAAATATCAAACACGAGCATATAATGTATATATACATTTGCTTGTGATGGCGTTGTTTTACAATGTGCGGCGATGTAAAAACGTTGCAGAAATCGCACGTACTTATATGCATTACATATTTTAAAACGAGAACATTTCTCAATTTACAAAATTTTTCGAATTGACGAGAGCTGCAGCTATGAATATAATTACCATGCAAAATAGACACCAGGCATACGACCTATACAGTACACGCCGCGCACTTTATTTAATTTAGTAACGTACCACGTTTTAAAAATCGGAATTGAAAAGTCGAAATCCTGTACGTCTGTAGTAGTGACCACGATCGGCACCAAGAGGATGTCACCGGTGTTATCTTTCAACATTGATTTGCCCACCTTGAAGTCTCCGTGCACGTAAACGCTCCTGCTCTCAAACATACATAATCATATATTAGAAAGTATATAATATGCATATTATATTAGTGTCAAATTTTTTTTTGGAACGGGGGAAGTGAGCAGTAGACCGCCTGGGGAGGCTCTTCCCTGAAAGTTGGGCCGTGTTTTGTTGTTGATATTGTATACAATTGTTGAATAGGATAATTAGTGTTAAAATTAAATACAAGTATAAAATTATTAAAATGGATATCACTGTAAAATATTCGAGAAGTTGATAACGTGTAGGCGTGAGAGGGAGCTCTCAGTGCGTTGTAATAAAAAATTTAAGCACCTCCACCTCTCACCTGCACCCTTCGTCGAGCATCAGGTACGCACTACCGTTATACACGTTATTAATAAACACTCCAAATACGCGAATAAGTCCTTAAATCGCGTAATAATACACACGTATATACTACATGTATACGAATGCGTATACGGCCCATTATATTAATTTATCATAGTTGCAACGTCTCTTTGAAAAAAAAAAAAAATTATCGACCGTTTTGCCGTTAATACTTACCCAACTATATCATTATTGCTGTTTTTGTGCATATATTTACACACACACACATATATATATATAACACACACCTACTCGAGCGATACGCATTACAATATTCGCATTAATTACACGTCGAGATGTATACACAAATATGTGCAGTGTGAATACGAACCAGTTGTCATAATAATAATAATAATAATAATAATAATGTCATCATCGCATAACACCCGCGGTCGTATGACGAACGGAGACGAACTACAGTATCCCATGTATACCTATATACAACACAATACTTACATACAACGAGCTGTACATACACACACACACACACACAAGCACAATGTTACCTGTCGTTATTTGCTTGACATCGATTTATCGGTCTCGTCGGGGGAAAAAAAAAAAATTTAAAAAAAAATGGTAAACACCTCGTTTCACAATTTAAAATTCGCAAACACACGCGTGTATAATTGCCCGACGTACCTATGTACACTGTACAGTGCGCTAGCGGAGAGGAGGCATACCTACTTACTGCCTATGTGTATGTATAATTATCACGTTTATGTATAAATATATACGTTGCGCCGGCACCAGAAACGCGGCATACAATAGCGCTGTTCTGGCGTTTCGTTGTTTTTTTTTTTATTTATTTTATTTTTTTCACGATGTTTTGGGTTTTACATATTTTTCAATGACACGTTTATTGTGTTGTACTCGCCGAACACAGGACCGTATTATTGCGGCAGTGTCTCTACAGGCCGCCAGAACTGCGGGCGTCACGATATAAATTTCCAATTAACCGTCGTTGTTCGTGCTCCGACCGCCGACTGAGCCGAGTGCGAAGACGACGACGTGACCGCCGACGAAGCCAAGTAGAGTAGAAGACGTATCCGCCGCCGCCGCCGCCGCCGCGTATAGATGATAGCCGGTGTACCACCTTCGCAGCTATTCCGTTTCGCCAGAGCGCCGCACGATTGTCAGTCGTAACAACAACAGCAATTATTATTGTTGTAGCATATTGTACGCTGTTATATCCGGCGGGTCGGAAATCGCAGCGACGCCTCCAACATGAGTGGACATTGGATTTTCGTCCTTTTGTGCTTGTCATTTGTCGGACAGCTAGTGCTGGGCGTAAGTTGTTGTCGTTGTTAATGCCTTTAGATGTACTATTATAATATGTTATGCAATCGTGTATTCGCAGTCAGTCGTCCTCATTACTATACATCATAATATTATCTGATTTATAATTTACACAATATACCTACACGCGTAATGAACTCCAATTAATAGGTATACCTCTGCTTGTCCGATGTAATAGGTCCCTACGCTCATCTACCTGATTTTATCCCACATTTATAACCGCAGTGCACTTATTAAAATCGTGGTTTTAGACACTCGCAGCTGTTTTAAGATCATATTTCCGAATATATTATGCTTGGATTGAGATGATCTCTAAGATTTTAATTGTTATGAGTTATGACCTACTAATAAGTAATATTTGGTCGAGTGCCTATACTGTACATTGCAACATTACCTATTATTATTCGGATCGTTTTAAAAAATTATAAAATCAATTTAGAGGAGTAATTATCATCATCAACCTATCGACATTCTTAAATACCTAGTATGTTAGTTTAACCGAAACGTCCCATTTCCATTGTCCATATATATATACCTATATAATATAGGCTATATTATATTATATCCATTTCAAAATCAAATATACATTTATACCGTTGTAAAGACGTAAAGTCGTACAGCCACTTTTATTGTCCGTATGTATACGGCTCATACTCAGTGGCGTAACTGAGTAAGAAATTAGGGGGGAGGGCAAAATAATTTATTCATCAAGATTGAAACCATAACCTAATAAATTGTTTGTTTTTGCACAAGTCTTAAACTCATTTTATGGCTTTGAAACAAAATACAACTAGTAGGTTGGTACTCATAATTGTGAAATAATATTAAGTGCATTAGAGTTCATAAAAATACTGTGATATTAGCCTATAACTTGTTTAAAAACAATAATGTGATGCTAAATGATAATCATGTAATCATAATAAATTCATAAAATAATATTAATAGGTATTGACTTGTTTTGTAACCCAGATAAAGCGAAAAATAAGTCAAATATTATTCAACAGGAGAAACCTGAAATAGGTGTAGGTACTCTATAGTTTATCTGTTTATGTAATACCTATTTAGAAAAAAAAATTATCTTATAAGATATTTTCCTAGATTAAAATTCATGGATCAGTTGAGCCTAAAACAGAATTTGCATTTTAGGGTCAGTAAACTAATTGCGCTCCTTAAATTTACCGTCAATACATTAATTTTTGCTTGCCATTTAGTTTATGTCTTATTGTTATAAATATAATAAATAATAACAATTCATTAATTCAAAATTAAAATGTATATATTGATCAATTGATAACTGGTTAAATATATTTTGTTTTCGAGGAACAAAAAAGTTGTTAATTGTTGATTTGCTGCTAATATTCTATAATATAATACGTAGACATTCATGTAACACTATTATTTCATTACTATTAATTTGCTAATTGGTAGGTTAAACACACTTTTATATATACGAGGTAACACAATGACCTAACCTAACAGATAGGTACTTTTATATGATCAATATTGTCATTTATTTATAACTCGCCTTACTTCTATGGGTTGTAGCCTGTATATATTTACTGAAATTTAACGATCAAAAAGTGTACTGTCAAAAATATATCTTGTTTCACATCATCTCATTTGAACAAAAAAATATTTTGTTCTGTGCACTACTTTTCGAACAGTTATCCCGTTGATATTTGAAAACATGGTTTTTATGCATATCTGAGTAGGTATACACCGAAATACTCAATAAAAGAACAAAACGATAGTAAACGTGGCAACTTGGTTAATGACATATTAGTAGGGTACCTATTAACACAATTACACATCAAACATGTATTTGTATTATACTGTAATTCGGCGGTAAGCCATTAATTGTTTACGTTCTAATTTAGAGTTTGTTTCCTCCAATTCCTCCGAACTCTCAAAATCCACCACAATCAGACGCCGTGCCTGCACAACCAGAAGTAAGGAACGTGTATTCTTAACTGTCTTAGCAGTTTTTATGTACATTTTAAAATTTAATGTACATAGTCTAGTATTAATCATAAATTGAGTATGATTTAAGGTCAATTGGCCATTAAGCAATTTAGCCACACCTGAAGTGATCGTCATCAGAGAAGCAGCCACGCTTAATACCAGAGGTCTCCACGCAGAACAAACTAGAGACAACCCACTGGAAACCAGTCTAAAAGCTGAAGAAATATTACCAAAAGTTATTGTTACTGGCACTGAACAAAAAGCAGTCGAGGAAATTGAAACCAGAAATAATGCCGAAATGGAAACTAAAAACTTATATTCGACCAACAATGGATAACACTGAATTTGATCACATTAAACATAATGTACAATTTTTTCAAATTATAAATATCAATCATTACATAAAAATTAAAATTGAAGAGTGAAAATATATACTAAATTACCTGAAATCCAGACGTTTTTCTATGATTTTCCAAATTTCACCTACATATCCTGAGATATCATTTATGTTACCGTTATTTGTCATTAACAACAAATAAGGTGGCATCTACATGTCAAACATATCAAAATTATATTACAATTAAGTAAATATAAGGTGTATTCTAAAGTTTGGAAAATTATTATTTAATCAACCATTTTTAAATTTGTTGAATACGATTTTAAGCTTCTAATAAGTAAATGAACATAGATTTAACTTAATACTATAAACTATTTAGTTACCTTGATAATTAAACATTTACTTACATGATCAACTATCACATTGAGTGTCTTAGACATTTTAAAAACTACTGGAATAGTGGAGTATAATATAATGGTTACATGACTGTATAAAATATAAGTGAAACTAAAAAGCTCAATATAAACATTTTAATAATAGAGATAGGTCAGTTTGATAATATTAATCAGTACCACCATTATAAAATTCAATTCTTTTCTTTAGGTATTCACAATAATATAACAAGGTCGTAAAAAAAATAAATAAACAAATAATAAGGTTAAGTTTACCCATATGGGCTATATATTTTTAAATTATAAAAATAATTAGCTCAGTATAAAAATCTAAAAATTCTATAGTATTTACATGTACAAGTTAGTAAAATACATAGCAGTTAAATGTTTAAAATACAAAATACATAGTTAGAGAACAACAGTGAAAACATAATATATAAATACACTATAATACAGTTTATAATAATATGTGATTTATTGGTTATTCTTTTGTATTATAATATAAGAAAGCTAACAGGCCTTGGATATCTTTATTTTGATCATACAATGTTGCTGCCTTCATAATTGTTTGGCTACGTGGAATAATGTCAATAACTGTGCATGAAAACATAAATAAAAATCAGAAGGTAAATTAAATAAATATCAAACAAAATTCAATCTAATAGTGATTATATTATATTGTATACCTAATGCAGTGGTTAAAAATGATATAACATAACTGATAAGTGGCATAAATAAATAGGATATAGGCACACATTTTTTTATCAACATAATTTTAATTGTTATAATTAATTGATATTTGATTATGGGGACAAGCTATGATAATGAAAACAATATCAAAATTGTATCTTAATTATTAATAGTTCTGATTAGTTTGAATTAGTATGGTCTAACTCAAATACATCAGTTGTTCAAATGTGTTTGTTATATCAATATACAATTTTTTTTTTATTGAAAAGCACTTTAAAACATGAACATATTTACAGTAAAAAGTAACCAAATTAAATAGTATAATGTTTTATTTATATAAATTGTAACCAACTGATGCTACAAATAATTATAGTAATTGCACTAATGACAACAAGGACATAATAATTACTATTTATGTACCTAAAGTACATATTTGCAGTGTCAAATAGTAATTTAAGTTAAAGTACTTTAATACAAAATTATAAGACAGGAATATGCATAAAATGATATTATTGCAGGTATTATTAGATTTCATGACAAAATACTAAATCAAATAAAATAATAGTAGGTAAGAATAGTAGGTAAGTACACAACACTTACGTTTAAAGTTGTTATCATTTTCCTCAAAAATGACTTGGTAGCCTGAATTTTTTTTTACATTTTTCATGGTAATATTGATTACAGTAGTTATTTCATTACATTCAATATTCATATTCAACTGTAAAAATCGCTCATACATGTTAACTCCAGTTCTAAATGAATTTATTTCTCTTTTAAGTTTTTTTAGGCTTGCTTTTTTTTCTAAAAATAAATAAATAAAAATAATTAAAAACTAAAACATTTTTCCTCACACTAACATAGAGTGTGGCTCATTATCTTCTTTAAGGAATGAACAAAAATAAAATGTACAATGTATCTATATAAATAATATGTTAGGTTACCTTTATATACGTGGGTGAGTTGCTCTTTGGTTTTATTTATCTCGTCATTCAGCTCAATTTCTGTAACTCCCAGAGTACTGCATTCATTATTAATAGACTCCAAGCGATCGTTTTCTGTTTGCAATATCTGCTGTTCACATTTGACTTTGTCTGATATGTGCTGAAGTGTATCACGGCTCTTGCTAATTTTGTTATTTACATCTGAGAGATTTTCTAAAAATAAGCAATATAAAACATTTATAATCTACACAACATCTGGCATTATAATATACATACTTAATGTCTTGTTGTATTCGTCTATGTCCTGTGTGTATACTTTCAGTATATCATCATGGGATCGTTTTATTTTGTTGATAAAGTTTTCCTTTGAATTTTGGTGTGCTAATTCATAGTCGGTGATTATATTATCAATGTCAACATTAAAATATCTCGTCATGGTGGAAACTGAAAGTAAAAATCAATCAATATAAAGTCAATTTTTTATTAAGTCAAACATGATTATTCTTCTGCAGTATAATCGAGGTACTTATTTTAGAATAAAAACATAACAAGTTCAATCATCATCAGTTTAATTGCATTTTAAATTGTATGGGAATGAAAAGTTTGAAGAAGTAGTTAATATTATTAGGCTGTACACTTTTCCTAACCTAACCAAGACTGAACTTGACATATCAATTGACAGAAATCATTACAGATTTAACGAAACTTACAAAGTATTATGCAGATGTCGTATAAACCACGGTTCGGGAGCGCAGACAATCGATAGATTGTAGTGAAATGACGATGATGATAATAATATTATTTTAAACGAGAATTACAACTGTGTGGCGGACGGCTGTAGTCTGTGGCTAATAATTATTGTTGTTGACACTCTTGACAGTGCTCACTTGACTCACTTGACTCCACTTATGGCATAGACATTAGACACTTCTATTGAACTTGAACAATGGACTTGGACTTTCAGCTTATTGGCTATATTATTTAGAGTTTAGACTTGTTGGTTTTCGTTCTTTATCTACGCTAATCACGACTGGTTCCTTCTTGCTGTTGTCGTTGATAAGATGAACGATAACGGTCGTTTGAATGTTTGAAACGATCGACCAATCATGCGCGTCCGTGATGATTCCGCCGAGATGCGTCGCACCACGCCATCTACGTTGTCTCATCTGGTTTTGCGTTACTTTTCGTAACTGCACACCTGTCCCCTAGATCCCGTTTATACTATTATTATGGATCATAATTTTATTATTATAGAAGTATTTTTTCAATATTAGTGTACGGTGTTTCTAAAAAAATATTGTAAAGAATGTAAAGGTTAGGTTTTCTACGATATTAATATGATAACGAACGTGTTGATCATTAATAACTAGGGCACGAAAGTTATAGAAACTTAGAAGGAAAAATATGCATTCATTTAGGCAGATTTGCAAGAAATAATAAATTGTAAAATATGCATACCTACAAATTATCCTAAATTATTACAAAATAAAAAACATCTAAAATAATGTTATTATCAATTTGCACTATAAGATATTTAAAATAAAATTATAATATTTTAAATACGGCGGAAAACTGTTTGGCGTTTTGACATTTTATTCGACTGTAAGAATAGTTTTAAACAATGTATTCAATAGTGGTACTTTGAAATATTATCGAAATGAAGTCGTTATATTAATAATCGACGTCGACGATAACAATAAATACCTACCTACGTCAAATAAAACTGAGTTCCATATTAAATATTATTATTAAAACACACGGCTTAAGAAAGAAAAACTATTAAACATGCATAATATGTGTATGGAAATCAATGAGAAATATGCTCTTTTCCCTACCTACAATTTACTATACATGTATTTTCTTTTTTTTCTTTTGCACCCACCAATGTATAGTTTGGACAGGGCCGGCCGTAGGTCTTTTGCCGCTCTAGGCAAATCTAATTTACGCTGCCCTATATGCAATAGTTAATTTTTTTGAGCGGAGGGGGTTGAATAAAATATGGACATTTATTTTTAACTATAAACCCTTGTTTTGTTTAAAAAAAAAATGTTTTGACTGACCTCAGTTTTCTTTACGAAATATAAAATAATAATAATAAGATTAATATAAATGTTGGGTATGAAATAGAACAAGTAATATTTTTGACCATCGTCACTCATTCAGTATCATTTTCATAGATCAACAATATGTATTTAATTAAAAATTAAAAAATATATAACTACGCAATTAAAAATATATTAAATGAAATTAATTTTGCGAGCGTTTTCTTGGGCAAAATCAGTCGGTAAATTTTTAAACTCCAGGTTTTCCATTACTTATTTTAAATAGGAATTTTAGCAAGATCACTTAACCTTTCTTGACTCATAGAAGACCTCAAATAGTTTTTAATTATTTTTGATTTGGAAAAGCTCTGTTCACCAGATGCAACCGACACAAGCATAGTTAAAATAATGTGAAGTGCTACAGCTACATTTGGTTACGTTCTCGGTAAACGAAATATCAATAGTATATTATCATTAGTTATTACACATTTATTTTTGTATATTTTGAACAATGAACATACAATTCAGCATACTACATTATATTATAATAATTAAATCACTTTGGTTCATTCGAAATTTGCCGCCCCCACACTAGTGCCGCCCTAGGCGGCTGCCTATTTTGCTACCACATTGAGCCGGCCCTGAGTTTGGATTTCTAGTTTGGTCTGCTATAAATCGTAAGAATATAGCAAAATATTATTTTATAGGTACAGTTGAATATCTGTTTATGTGCAAAATGTTTGAGCGGGGTATATTTAGTAGTAGTTTGGCATGTTACTTTGGGAACTCACAGAGACAGTCCGATTACTTATAAGCCTATCCATTAATATGAATCATTAGCTGAACAGGGGAACGAACCATGGAGTATGGATAATATTTTATTTTTGTGACAAGCCCCAGGACCATTCAAGCTGTATGCACCGGGCCCAGTGTCATTGCACAGATCTGACCGCCTTAAAGCTGCAGGCTTTGTACATTATATTTATTTGTTTGAAAATTAGGAAAAAAAAAATTAATTACATAATAAACTATACCTAGTTAAAATTGTTATGTTTCATTCAAATATCCAATTTTGTCAAAATTAAAATTTCAAATAGGTATACAAATGCATAGAAAAAAAAACACATTTATAGTTTAGAAATTGTACAGACATAATATAATAGTGTACAGTACAGGTGGCCTTACGACTTACACGATCATTAATTATAATCGAAACGATTTAATCGATTAATTATTTGACTAACCGTTCAGATCCGTGGCTGATGTTTAGTGAAGTACAATTCCCGATGCTATTTTTATAAGACATAAACACTTTATATCATAATATGGTGCAATGGTTTGGTGTACAAAATAATGCTGTACCCGGGTTCTTAAGTTTTACCAATATATACATTTGTTCAACGGTTTTCTCAAATTATATACGATGATATGTAGCATGAGGCCAAACAATTTGCTTAAAAAACAAAATTGATCTGAAATACTCCAGACATTCCAGATGTGCCTTATTTTACTCTTGTTGGTACATAACGTTAGACTAATAAACAAACGCCAAGTTTAATTTTATGTCAATATTATATTATTATATCTTTTAAAGTATTACAAAAAAAAATCTGTTCCAAATTTGTATTAAAATGATAAAATATGGTTATAATGTTGACCACTATTATTTTCAAACAAATAAAACATAATTTAATTATTCAAATAATATTAACATAATGCACATTATGTGTCTTATTTTAAATATATATATTTTTTAATAATCACTAATCAGTAGGAATCACAAAATATATACGTCCTATACGAACACTACTCGTAGTGTACATAAACTGGTCATGGACATTATCACCAACCAGCGGTGCCGAAATTTACAATTCAAAAGAAGAAATAGTTTGAGAAGTTCAGATAAAAATGATAAATAGTAATCTATATTTTTAAAGCTACCTATTTCTATTTTTGGTATAACACAATAAAATTGACATGACTCGTTTGACACAATGGTTAGATTAATTATTATTTTTAATGAGCAATGATCTACGTTTTCAATTAATATGGTGCAATAAAATAAGAGAAGTAGGTAGTTGTTAGTTAAATTGTTTTAGTTTAATAAGTTGATCACACCGTTAACTGTAGAACACGTTATGCTATATAATATGAGCTGGTTAGTATGATAATAACAATAATTATTTAAAATTGGTATAATAGTAGCTATTGTATAATTCGCTGAAATTAAATTTTCGTTTTCATGTATAGAAATTGCTTAAGTATTGTTTACTAGAGCTGTTAAATGTCATTTAGATGTTTTTACTTTTTAGACAATAAACGCATACAAATACCAACCAATATAATATATATATATAATATTTATATAATTTAGATATTAGTGATATTACAGTAGGTAGGTCGTAGGTACCTATCTATTATATTATTAGGCATATTATAATAATATGTACCTACAGATAATCTATGTATTATATGGTACCTACATTTAAACAATAATAACAATTGCAGAAAATGGGAAATTGTTGAAGACTATTATTTATAGGTAATAATAATAGTTGCCAACTGATGATAATTTGTTTTTTAACGTTTTAACATTTTCATTCATTTTATTTATTTCTACACAAATTTAAAAAATATTTTTCACAAATAAAAGTTTTGTTAAAAATTGAAAATTATCTTGATATACGGTATACCTACAACCAGTATAACCTATGTGTCACTGTATCAGAGATTATTGGGTAAATTATTACCATTGGTATTGTATAACAATTAATCTATATATAACACATTATTACAGTATTATATATATATTATTTAAATCAAGACATTTTACAATGTTTGCAATAATTTGACAATAAGTAATTCTAATAAATTAATAGATAATACACTATGGCATTTGGTATGGACAAATGATGACATAATCACACAATAGTATAATATCTCATATTAATTAAATTAATTGTTTGTCTCTTAAACAGTCTACACCATTTGAGTTTTTGTCTAAGTAGTGGGTTTTTTTGGAATTGTGATGATACATAGACTAAGGCATTACAAATAAGTGGATTACAATGTGTGTTTAAATTTTGGTAAAAACAATTATTATAAATTATTTGGGCTTGTTGTTTTTACGTAATTGTTAATAATATATTTTACTACTCAAGCTTAGTGTTTAATTATTTTAAGTATCCACAATAAAAAGTATTACACGGTTAATTTAATTTTTTTTACTTGAAATGTCTAATCCTAATGTACATTGGTAATAATCGCCTAATTAGTAGAGTTTTGTATTTATGACAAAAATAAGAATAAAATCATGAACTTTGATTTATTTTGTTGCCTTTAGGCCTCATCACATACGACATCGGTTAGGTGAGCCTACACGGCTATATTCAGTAATACACATAATTAATTATCTAGTGCCTAGACGCCTGGTTGCCAGGGTATTATAGGTACCTAATTATATACATATATATATGCATTCTATTGAACTTGATTCCTGTAATTTAATTTGAAAATTAAAATTCCCAAAGCAGAATAGGTTTCAACATAATAATAAAAAAAAATGTTGAGAACTTTTAATATTTCTATAATATTATTATACAATTCTATACCATAAACTTTAATCGGAACACTATACATGAAATATAATATATTAAAAACTATTATGCAGTAATTTAATTTTCCAATCTTACATTGGAATGGGGAATTTCACTTGATATCTGTGATGGTATTAATAGTATAAATTAGGTAAAAATACAAAATAATACGATTTATAATAATTCTGAATGTCATTAAGATTATAAGTTCAAAATATTATGTTATAATAGTATTATTTAATATTTTACTATATTTTTATATATTATGCATCGTACAATTGGATCAATGATATACGTAATAACTAATAACTAATAAGTATAGTTTTCTGTCCAACTGCATTGAGTTAAATCAATGAAATGTATTAAAAAAATAACATAAATATTTGTGTTCAAAAGTATTCGTAAATATAATTTAAACTTACTTGTTCACCATCTATAATCTGATTTTTAGTTAATACTATATTTGTGTCTA